AAAAAAAAAAAAAAACACAAAACAAAAAAAAAAAAAACCAAAAAAATTGCCTGAAGAAAAATAAAAAATCCTGTCACTTTTATCGGCTTATCCTGGTTATCAATGCTACATTATCTTTTTTTTTTACACCATGATATCATATGTTTGTCTGGCACTATCCTAAAGCTAATTTATAGAGAAGAGAATACAGAAACAACCAAATGTCTATTTGACAAAATGAATTCACTGGGCATAAAATAGGAGAAGGGAGAAGAGAAGGGGAAGGGGTCAGTTCTGCCAAGAAAATAAACCCTATGGATCACTCATCATCACTTCCGCTTGCTTCCGACTGGTCCTAGAGGTAAGAGACACAAGACAAGTCAGAAATTCTTTGCCAGCTATTCTGTGGAATTTGTTAAAGAAGAAAAAAAGAAAGAAAAGGGAAGAAAGATGACAATTAAATTGACACATCAAAGTAGACTTAAGAAATATAGTTATCTAATATTTCTCTTTCAAGACAGTTGCTGCAGACTTCCTTAGAGAGGAAAAGACACCAAGTAAGGAAAGATCAAGTACTTCTATCTATCCAGATGTTTAATAACAACTGGGAAGAGTTCGTTTTTCATTTGTTGTATTTATAGAAGCGACTCTAGTACCAAAAAAAATCATGCTAAGAATTTTTCATTTGGGGATGAAAGCAAACAATCCACAAGGTTTAAAGGTTCTAAGAAGGTAGGAACAGCTCCAAGAAATAAGCTCCAGACTTCTTGTCTTTCAGCACTGGGACCAGATCTCCTAAACACACCCAGACACAGTTAATACCCTTGCCAAATTCTCTTAAGATGATGAATACAGATTAAATATGTGCTTAAGCATGAATAAGTGAGAATTCTGACAGCAAGCAGGACAGGGTAGAGACGCAATCACTGTAACCACTTCCACAGTCTCAGTGAACAAAACTTACATTTTCATCTTGATCCTCATCACTATCATCATCACTCACAACAGGTTTGGCTTTTGCTCGGCTTTGCCTCTTCTTGCCCTTTCCTTTCTCCCGACTTTTTTCATCCTTTTTAGTCAGCTTGATTTTGACTTTCACAGATTTTGCTGCAGAAAATGTAACGTGTACATGAGTGTGAATAAAACAAACTACTGAAGGTCACCTATCAACTTCTAAATGCTGTCTCTGTTTTTAGAAATTTTCACCTGGTGGCAGCAAAAGATACTCTCCCTGTTCTTTGTCTGGACCATGGAACCATTAACCAGAATACTTGCTTTTACTTTTCTACTTCTTGATTGTTGTAGCAATATTGTATTAGGCTATGGAGTATAACTTAACCATTATACCTCTTCTTTTTCATGTTCAGCAGGTAGTACCTGGTTCTGTAAGAAGATGCAAACCTAAAAACACTTTCTTACCTCTATATAGACAAGTTTATTCTTTGTACAAGCAGAAAATTGTGTCATTTTAAAACTACAGGAATGCTAAATGGAGGTAACTGGCAAACCTGGAACAAACACCTTTCAGAAGAACATATGAAGTGCTTGATTTCCAAATGAACTTCTGAAACAGTATGTTCTACAGAGCTACTTGTTTTTCTAAGAACAGTTCAGGGCAAACTTCTAATGTTTCTGTAACCATACAGAAGGGGCAGCTGAAGAGTACAAATACTGTATGGCACAAAGTGGAATGAACAGATGCCTCCATTTCTACTATATTACATTTCTGAATCTGCAGGAACATCAAGTATGGTGATTATGCCTCCACCAAAGAAACACAAATCAACAAGGAGAACTGAAAGGCTGTATGGAGAAAGGTCTTTTGTATTGTTTTCCTGCATCGCGCCCTGAATACCTGCTGAACTTTCTGTCCAGCTCTGTCCTATCCCATAACTTGGCTCTTACAAGAATGGGTGTCACCTCCTGCTTCTGAAGCAATCTGAGTTTCAATTTGTCCTTGTCCCACTGAAGAATACTTGCACTATCATTTTAACTAGGTGATGAATTTCATGTTGCATCATGCCTGAAAGTCTGATCACTCATGGATCAAAACTATACTTGGCCTTTCTAGTACTTTTAGTTGCAAACAGTGTGAATAGGACAAAATGGGTTTATCAACAGTCACAGCCAGTCAAATCCATTCCCACATAACTCTTCTGCTGTTTGAAAGTACTAAACTCTTAGAAATAGACAACCAGAAGAAAAATAAAAAAAAGACAAGTGGAATGCAGTAAACTTGGTAAGAAGTTATCTTCCTCCACAGAAAACTCAATCTAACAGCAGAAATCAGAACAACTAATTACCCCCCACATTTTCCTTGTTTAGACGGGACTCACATTCTGACTCTGACTCCTCTTCATCATCATCATCTTCATCATCATTGCTTTCATCCTCACTTTCTTCTTCTTTGGCAATCTTCTGTCGTGCACTTTTGAACACGGACTGAAGAACAATGGAATCCTCATAGATCTACAATGTGAATACAAACCTATGTCAGAGCTGTAAAATCAAGCAACACGAAAAGAAATCATACTGCACACCTTTATTTCTGCTGGAAACCTATGGACTATATGGTCTTTTAAAATTACAAGTAACAGTTGATGTTGCATGAATTTTACAAGAAATATCAACATTGACTTTTTATTTTCTGAATAAAAAAAAGTTGTCAATAAAGATAAATAAATTTGTCACAAAAAGAGTGTCTTAAAATATCTTGTTTTAAATGTCCAATTGTTTGTCCAATTAAATGCTTTCCTTTATTGTTTCTATTACCACAAGGGCTTTCTCACATTTTCATTACATTTTAAGTATTGAAAACCTCCCAACATGACAACCTTCAGCAGTAAGCACCTCAATTATAAAACTGGATTAAAGTCTAGTACTATATTTTACAGCAACAAATGACTAGCTTTTATGTTAGTTATCATTAGCTTTTCCAGAAGCCCAAACCAGCTGCAAAGAAATTTATTTATCCCTAGCATCCCATCATTTTTTGCAGATCTCAAAAGGCTGAAAAATCAGTGCCTGTCCCAAACTTAACATCTTTCCTTAAACACAGGCTAACTTGCTGAGCACTTCTGTCATACCAGATTTTCACTTCAACATCAAGCACCTATATACAAGAAGGCCACACCTGGCTTTTAATGCATTTCTCAGATTAACATAACAGAGATATCATAGTCTCCCTAAATAACTAGGACTTCAGAATCATCTCAACAAAGGAGCTTGTCTATTTTGCTTTTCAAGGAGACAAAGCACTGGATAATTAAGAATAGTTATATATGCAATAGTAAAGGGTCACAAACTGTATTTGATTTCCTCATCCTCACTTTCTCCTTCAGCTAAACAAAATATTTTCTTGTATAAAGGAACGCTGTCTATTTGTGAGAAAAATGGGAAGATTTTTGGTTGTCATTATACAAGCTGCACATTAAAACTGATAAAACCACTCTCATACTTTGCAGGTTCAGAAAGAATTAGAAAAACTTGGTTCAGAATACTTCATATGAAATACACAATCTTTTTTTTCAGTTTATTTCCAAGTACCTTTCATAAAAAGTGACTTTCAGTGCAGTTAGTACCCTGTTTCCTATTCCATAAATACTCCAGTGACTTTTGTTAGGAGATGTTAAGATGGCTTGTAAATATGGGCCAAGTGTTACCTGACACCCAAGATACATAATGATGATGATTGTTTTGTAATGGCTCATCTTTTCCTTTTGTCTTGTGCCACTACTGGGATTTTAGATCCCAGAGTGTTTTTTTTTTCCTCCAAGAGTAATCATTACCAACACTCTCTTACACCTAAAATTTTTAAAGTTTCCGGCCCCTAGAAGACTCTGAATTTCTCTTGAACATATTTCCTTTTCTTTCCCGTAGGCCCAGCATATTGTTCTTAGGGTTGCCTTTCAATAGCCTTGCAATTTTTTCTTAGAGAAAACACATTTCTAAGACAACAAGAATTAAAGAAGAGCACAAGATGGTATTTTGAACTCCAGCCATTACATATTTTAAGATCTCATTGTGATCCAGACTTTTTAACAGAATGTCATAGAAAAAATAAAGGGGTTTTAAAAAAACATTATCTTTCTAAATACAGAATTCTTTGTAGATGCTCACTGGCTATTATGACTCGGAAGATTTAGAGCTTCATTCAGAAAATAGAAAGTTTTCTTACTTTGACAATAAAACTGATTCCAATAAGAATCATAAATGGAACAGCAATAACAGCAGAACTTCCTTCAAAATGAGAAAAACAGTGACAAAGAAACTTAAAATACCGCAAATTTTTAAGACAAATTTTTTTCTGTTTCAAAAGACATGCATTGTTTTAACTTCTTACATGTCTGTTTTTCATTTGACCCTTACAATGTTAAAAACTTTTGAAACTCCTGAGGTTTCACTGAGCACAAAAGCCTCAAAAAATAAGTCTGTCTGTCTCTGAAAACCTCTCCTAAGATTTTGGCTCAAATGGAACTCTTTGGTTTCAAGGAAAAGAAATATGCATTAACACTAGCAAAACAAACATGCAGAATTTCACTTGATGTTGCTGTGTACCTGAACAGCTCTGTTTAAAGTAGCCTTTTTGTTTTGGGTGCGCGCACAATAATCTAGTTTACTCGAGTAAACTGGTATGTCACAGCAAAGGTAGAACTAAACTATCACAACAAATATAAGGACCTTAAAAACTGGAGGACCACTGGAAAAACGTCCCACAATTCACTAGAAATAAAAAGTAAGTTACAAGAATATAGCATAGAAACTTAAACAAACAAAACAAATCAACAACAGCAACAACAGAAACTTAGACACAGATTGTTCGGGATTTATACAACAAAAAAGTAATTAATTCTGGTAATTAATATTTGTATGCTAGCATGGAGAAAAACTCTGAAGCTGGTTGAACTATTTCCAAACAGAGTAACAACATCTTGAATGCTTATACCCATTCAAGAGTGTTCCTGTCAAATCTATCACTCCACATAACAGACCAGTTCCAGATTAGCAACTCATGCCATTCTCATCAGCATAATTATTTTTTTCAGATAGCTACTGGTTTTTACTTTTCCCTTTTTAACTACTGTCATCCCCCCCCTCCAACAATTTTAGTGGTACTTCTTGGGTAGGGTTATCTTTGTTTTTTTTAATTCACAGCTAGTTTACTGCTACTTGACTAAGTAGCAAACTGGTAATTTACTTTTGGACATTTAGTAAAGGCTCTATTCCACAATTTGAGTCATCACTATTTCTATTAAAATAATTTTAGCAGATAAGTTTACAGGCTGTTTCTGTATAATTTAACACAGTAAAAATATCACACGTGTATATGACACAGAAAGCATTTTCTGTCTCTAAATAAGAAAAATAAATACAAAATGACCAGTTGTATTCATCAATCCTGCATCTAATTGCATGTTTCAATGTTACGTCTCAATTTTTCACATACGTTCACCTGTTTAGCAAAGGGTTATCAATAGCATATAGTTATTCAGATGATGCATTAATACTGGCCGCATGAAACCTCCAGCTAAATTTACCTAGGCTTCCTGAAAGGAATATTTTTTTTTTTCTCTTTCAGATTATTGAACTGGTTTTCAGGTCCTTTCTTCAATTTAATACTGTATTTGTAGCACACAATTTAGACTCCTCTGCAAAAATATGTATCTTCTGCTACATTTCACTACATTGTGTGACAATTTTCCCATTTTGTAGTCTCTCCTTTTGCATCAGCGTCCTCCATTCCTATTTTACAAGACTGAGCACAATCGTACCTTTATAACATTTGAGGTTAGAGATTTTGCTTTGTAAACCTCTGAGACTCAACTGGAATTAATTATTACTAAGTTTCAAAATGGATATAGATCTTTCAAAGAAAGATCAGTCTGACGGTAAAGAGAATATAAAATCTCATACACAAATTTCACATCTGGATCTTGAATTTCTATCTTGCAGTAGCAGAGCTGGAGAGTTCACTGCTAAGTACTTCCTCTACAACTGGAATTAGCTGTACAATTATACCTGCTCCTTCTGCCATCCAATCTGGCAGCACAAACCGATGTATAACTACATAAACAGGGATCCAGCAGAGATTCAAATGTTCCTACAATAGCTGGGAACTACAGGACAGATCAAAACAAGCTGATCTCAGAACTTGACTCAAAACCAAATTCTCTGCATGCTCCCACTTCAGCTGTGGCCAGAGAACTTTGGATAATTCTAACAATCTGTCATTTTCCTCCACTTAAAATAAGAATTAAAATACAGCATTTATAGGCGTAGTATAATAATCAGTTAAGAACTAAAAGTATCAGGAAGGGAAAATCTGTATGCGTAATATTAGTTTGGTCAGACCTGTGATCCCTCCAGATTGAATGTCTGCGCATTATGACACAGCAACATGACATCCTTCTCCAAATCCCCAAGACTCCGATATTTATGGTTGCGAATCCTTTCCTGTTGCATTTGTTGAGGAAAACGAGAAGTACGGAGAGGCAGTGATGCAGGAAAAACAAACAAACAAACAAACAAACAAAAAAAAACCCAAAACAGTAGATATAGAATTAATCTTTGAAAAAACATTATTTTTAAAAATTCTACTTAAGCATCAAAACAGGTGCCTATTTAAAAGAAAGAAAGGAACAATAAAACGTATCATTAATGTAATACTAAAAAAATCACAATTGGGCAATAGGTATAAAAAACATGCAATTGCTGTGTAGACTGCTTCCAGGCCAAAAGCTACAAATTTGAGTTCTTCTGGTAAAAGGAATTTCAATTTCTTCTCTTCTGCATGGACATACAATATGCTACAATATGAACAGCATTACAGTTGCATCATCTAGTGTGCAACAAGTTGCCTAAAACCCACCTGACAAACTGCTTGGATGTTAGTTTAGGGATTACTATATTCTACAAGAGTTTTCAAGATAAAGATTTCTTTATATGGCTCTTTACTGGTTCTTTACAAAAACCAGATTGAGATGTCCACTAGAACAGGTTGCCCAAGGAGGTTGTGGATGCCCCATCCCTAGAGGCATTCAAGGCCAGGCTGGATGTGGCTCTGGGCAGCCTGGTCTGGTGGCTGGCGACCCTGTGCACAGCAGGGGGCTTGAAGCTTGATGATCATTATGGTCCTTTTAAACCCAGGCCATTTTTTGATTCTATGGTTCTACATCATCTCTGAAAGTGTCATTCATGTAACTGCTGCATTTTGATTTAATTTTGAAATGAAGGTAATATACTGTGATACAAAAGAAATAAAATTCATAACAAGAGATGTGATAATGTTTAACATCCAAAACACAGAGGTAGATTCAATATGCATATTGTGGTCATTTATATACTGACTTCATACTCACCAGTGTCTAACAAAAAGAAATATAGGAATCTCCACTTCCAAAAATGTTCTTACCTTAATTTTTTTGAAATCCACTGGTTTCCTAATCAATTCATAATATTCTGGTAGTTCTTTTCTCGATGGGAGCTGAATGAAGACTTCACTTAGCTGCCGTCCAGAGCTGTAGAAAAAAACAAACCCAAACACAAAGCCAAGAACTATTACAACTTCCTCACACATACGGGTCATACAATCAAATCATTAAAAAACAGATTAACAAACAACAACAGCAAAAATACAATCCCAACCCCTCTTCTTTCAAAGAACTAGAAAGTGATCTCTTAATTATGTTAATCTTATTATTATTTTAATAAATTCATACAGATAATTGATTTACAATTTAATACAAATCTTTCTGCCCTGTCCTAAAATATCACCACCATTAGAGGATCAGAAGTGTCATGGAACTTCATGAAAGCAGGATCAGGACTTGAATAGGAATACTGTAGTGCTTTGACAAGTGCAGTCTTACCCTTTTCTAACCTTTTTTTCATGATTCCTAGCATGCCCCCCTCCTGTCACTCTAAGTTTATGTTCCTCAGTCATTTTATAGTTGCTTTCATATCTCCTGGTCACACTGCACCATTTGTTCATGTTGACTTTGGTTATACCAGATGCTGATTGCCATCAGAACAACTAGATACATTATTAACTTCCATTAATGAGTGTTAGGATCCTGGAAAGATCATCTGACAGTACTGAAAATCTTTACTGTGATTTGTACTTCTTCAATTATCTGAAATAATGTGATAGGTTATTTACAATCATCTGTTTCTCCAGGACCATGTCATATTATTTGAAGGTGTCCGGAACTACTAAAGTTTGCAGACTTACCATTGTTAACCCTCTGGTTTGTTTATTTATTTATTTAAATTTTCCCACATGTAGCTCTTCAGCTACTTATATATGTATATATATACAATAGATGACTGCAAGATATTTGGAGATTAAAGGTATTGATGGCACTTACAAGTGTAAGGTTGTGTTTGTTTTTTTCTTTTTGAATGTCACATCAAAATAGTGGAAAAAAATCTCTGCTGAGAAGAACTGCAACTCATTGCACAGAGCATTCACATGCCATTTCCTGGCTCTGTTCACATACTTCCCTCTCTCACAGCCCTGTGAGAGGAGGAATTGGATGGTAACTTAACATGCAAAACATTCATAGGAATTGAGCAAGGAGAAGGCTGCTGCCTAGTCTCAGTCTCCATCTCAGCTTCAATCTCGCAGCCATCATCCATAACAGCATGGGATATTAACAGTCATGTTAAATTGATACTGGATCAAAGGTTAATTGAGGCAATTCTGCTACAGAAGATAAGGATGGTGAGAAGTGCAGAACAGCTTTGTCCTTTGTGAAATTTATGAATGCCTGCTTATCACATCATTATCACATCTAATGTCTCATCTATTACTAGAATTTTTAGAGGCACAAACTTGCTTTGGGAACCTGAGAGATCAATGAATAAGAATGAACAGAACTTTAACATTTCCTAAGCAGCTGTTGCTCACCTAATCCAAGATCTCCTACTGTTCTCAGAATGCTTTTGCTCATTATATACTCTGCATTAGAGAGACAATAATATTAAAGTTCTAATCATAGCTTGCTAATCAATGTCATCCAACTGATATCCTTAGGGACAACTTGCATCTGGAATACTGTTCTATGCAATGTTAACACTGTATATGCCCCTACCTCATCATCATTTTTTCTGATTTGCAGCCGCAGAACCTGTTACCTTGTCTGCTTACAGTAACTGCCAGACTCCAGCCCCCTGGCTGTTTCTGAAAGATTATGGCATGTACAAAACCATACTTGGTGCTGCAGCTGCACAGTGAGATAAGAAGGTGTACTGTGCCACTACATCAGCAAGGTAAGAGTTAAACCTATACACACTACACAAATACTGGTATAGACAACCGGACAGACCATTTGCACCTCACACAATACTCCAGACAGTTTACTAGCAACCTCAGCCAACGGATCACAGAACTATAGGGACTAAAATGGACCTCTGGAGATCACGTAATCCCACATTCCCAAATAAATCTAGTTCATTTGGGACTCTCTCTGTTACCGAAATACACAAAATGAAAAAATGACAACAAAATTGTCATCCCAGATTTTACCATCTCTCTCCTGACAGAAAATAACTGTGATGCTCTCAGGCCATTGTATCTTCATATCTCCTTCAGCAGTGAATTACAATAAAGAGTCAAATTCATTAATTTAATACTTCTCCTGCTGAAGTGGTAGTCATTTATACTACATTTGAAGTTACTGATCCTGTTAATGATGTTTGTGAGTGACAATGTCACATCAGATAACAGAATCTGTCTTCATCTCAGACTACTAAGAGCAATGTTTCAAGAACACACTACACAATTTATAAAATACAAAGTTGCTTTCAAAACTTTATACAGTGCTGATTTGGATTTGGCATGCAAATACTGAGTTATCACTGCTGTATTTTGAACTTCAGCAGCTTCCTTCTAACAAAGACATCTATTTGAGAAGAAATAGAAAACCACCGAAGCAGATGTTGCTTCATTTCATTCATACATTTCAGAGTCTAACAATATTATTATTTAAGCATGAACAGCTACTAATAATATCCTAATTTTTATCAGATTCTGAAATAGATTATGTATATTTGCACTATTTAAAAAGTTTCCTATAATTACACAGCCTTTTATTCAATAGCTCCAAAATTCTTCCCCCCCCCCCCCCCTTTCTTCATACTTGCACACACCCTTATATTGTATTGTTTGAAAAATATAACAGTAGTAAACTGTTACACAGCAATATTCTATTTTCAAGGTATAAATCTAGCCAACTGCAGCTTGCTCACACAGTCTATTAAACTAAGAATGCCACAGAAAACCTTCCAGCTTTTGCTTGATGTAATTAATTACTGAGAATCACTTAAGGTCATGAAAAAAAAAAAAAAAAAAAAGGAACAACAAAGCACTAAGGGCATGAAATATGCAACAGACAGAAAAGGAATGCCTGATCTTGTCTACGCAGATCAATAACAGCTTATTCTGTTGTACCATTTTTATAAAATCTCCTCTCACAAGGACTGTTATCTTCTGCTCTTTGCCTATGCTGAAAAATCATCTGACACTTTCTGACAGTCACGGTCTGTGTTAGTCGTACAAATGGAGCAAATTATTAATAATTAATCATTATTAAAGCAATGTTCAGATTTCAATCCCCATCCTCACTTTTACAATTAGAAAAAAATAACAACTTGCAGAACTACTGCATGCGCAGTAAAAAAATCACTTACAGTTGCCTGGCAACTAGCAGGATACATGCTGGAGGGAAGAAGGATCAGAATAAATTATGAGAGCTGACAGTGAAACAGCCAAGGCTGACAGCTCACTGCATCAGTCCTATGTGGTCACATGTAAATACTGAATGGTAAGCAAGTTAAAACTCATTAAGAGATATTACTAATTTTTTTAAAAGATTTTTGCTCAGGAAGTATTTGTGCTCAATGTTTCCAATTTCACCTTGGAATTGTTTACAATGTGAGTGTAAGTACATACTTCCACTCATTTGGTATTATTGTTAGTAGAATTAAATGCACGAACAATTAGGCTTAATTCATGCATATCTGGTTTTGTTTCCCTTTTCCCTGGCAGTATGGGGCCAGAAGCAAGTTGCAACCCATCTATCAAACCACTTTCTGTTTAGGATTCAAAAGAGAGAGACAATTGCAAAGATGAAGGTCTATGATGCCTTCATATTTCTAGCAAATCTCACACTTCTTTGTTAACACTGAAATCCAATGTAGAGTGGTTGAAACGAATGCTGACAACCAGAAACACAGTAAACAAATCACAGCTCCTGCGTGAGTGAAACTCAAAATGATGTTCGCTAAACAAACATTCAAAAAAAAAACAAAAAAAACACCAATTGTGTCTCTAAAGAATTTAAAGAAAATAAATGAAGAATCACCTTACTATGTTCAAGTTCAAAGAGTAATCCACATAGGCAGGGAGGTTATTCATTTTTGTTGGAAGTATTTAGTGATTCATCTTTTTTGAAACTGACCACAGTAATAAATGGTGGACCTGTCCCTATCATTGAAACTGAAATGAGTACAAATAGTAACGAATATTCCTGAGATATGGATATATACTCCATAGCTTTGGCTTGACTATAAGTAAGAATTATTTCCTTTGCATGTTTGAATACTTGATTGAGTACCAGTTGGCATAATTAATTAACAGTTAGATCAGCAATGGCTAATTACATTACTCACATATTACAATAGTTAAAAACTGCCAACCTGAGAAAACTGCTGGAGAAAGTTTGAAAGAAAAATTCATTTAATGTAAAGAGAAAAACACTCTCTCCCAGAGCTGTGCTCTATCAAAATCAGAATACTATAGCCACCAATTTAAACATTTTATTTTTAAACAGGCAGTGATAATAATACAAGGAATCACAGAATGAAGCAGGAAACACGGGTAGGACACAACAATTCCAGCCTCCAGTTTTCTTATCAGTTTTATTAAATGTGGTCAAGAGCCACTCACAACAAGGTGGAAGCTTTGTGAAGCTACTAGGCACAGCATTTAAGTCCTTACTCTAGGTAAGGCTGATGAGCAGTGAAGAGTTGGATCACAAATGTAAATCACTGCCTGTAATTGACCTGAAAAGGTCACGGGTCTCTTAAATATAAAGTTTCTATCTAAACAAAGGTAATGCAAAGCAGCACGTAACACCAACAGGAACCTAAACTGTAAACTCTCATGCAAGGCAGCAGTGGACTACAGATTTGTATGGATGCTGAAGGATTATAAGGTATGAAGTACCATTCTTTTTTTTTCCCGCTTAACTGCAACAATTAAGAAAGTAAGCAACCTTCACAGCTTGTCTTCCTCTACAATAATAATTAAACAAAAAAACAAAAAAAAGCAAAACAAAACAAAAACCTCCAAAGGAAGAAAAAAACATGTTTTTTGGAGGTAAGCATTCATGTGCATGATGCAAAGCTCAAGCATGTGGTATGCAAATTCCTTAGTCAGAAAACAAATAAACCTCTCTCTCCAGTAAAAACTGTTCTTCCCTTCAAAAGGCTAAAGAATTTCAACTGGACTACCACA